TTGCTTCCTTCCCTTTCTCTTCTTTCATCTTCCCTTCCTTTCCTTCCTCTTCATTTCTCCTTCCTTTCCTTTCCTTTCCTTTCCTTCATCTTCCCTTCCTTCCTTCCTTCCTTCCTTCCTTCTCCTCTTTGCTTCCTTCCCTTTCTCTTCTTTCATCTTCCCTTCCTTTCCTTCCTCTTCATTTCTCCTTCCTTTCCTTTCCTTTCCTTCATCTTCCTTTCCTTCCCCTTCCTTCCTTCCCTCCCTTCCTTCCTTCCTTCCTTCCTTCCTTCCTTCTCCTCTTTGCTTCCTTCCCTTTCTCTTCTTTCCTCTTCCTTTCCTTTCCTTCCTCTTCATTTCTCCTTCCTTTCCTTTCCTTCATCTTCCTTTCCTTCCCCTTCCTTCCTTCCCTCCCTCCCTCCTTCCTTCCTTCCTTCCTTCCTTCTCCTCTTTGCTTCCTTCCCTTTCTCTTCTTTCCTCTTCCTTTCCTTTCCTTCCTCCTCCTTCCTTTCCTTTCCTTTCCTTCATCTTCCTTTCCTTCCCCTTCCTTCCTTCCCTCCCTCCCTCCTTCCTTCCTTCCTTCCTTCTCCTCTTTGCTTCCTTCCCTTTCTCTTCTTTCCTCTTCCTTTCCTTTCCTTCCTCTTCATTTCTCCTTCCTTTCCTTTCCTTCATCTTCCTTTCCTTCCCCTTCCTTCCTTCCCTCCCTCCCTCCTTCCTTCCTTCCTTCCTTCTCCTCTTTGCTTCCTTCCCTTTCTCTTCTTTCATCTTCCTTTCCTTCCCCTTCCTTTCCCTTCTTCATTGATTTATCCCTTTTCCTTTCCCTTTTCCTTCCTCTCCCCCTCCCCTTTCTTCCCACACTTCCCCTCGCCTCCCCAATCCGCACCCCATCCCTCCCACCCCTAACCCTAACCCCAACCTTAACCCTAATCCTAACCCTACTCCTACCTTCTTTTTTCTCCCTTCCTCCCTGGGGTGGGGGCAGCAACATCGCTGCAAGAGGTCCAGGCAGGCTTAAAAACATGTTATGATTTAAACCTTAAGTCTTTGGGGTGGGGGGGTGGCGCTCTGTGGTGAAGAAAAGGTTGCGGGAGCCATTGGCTCTATTCTGTTCTATTCTGAATGGGACGCTCTGGGAATTTGGTATCATCTCCTCTTCCTGTCCAGCTTGGAGAAAGGGGGCACAGCCTGAGCACCTCTGGGTTCCCCCATCCTTCCCCTCTCTCTCCTCTGGGTTGCAGGATGTTTACTCCAAGCGCTTCATCCTGGTGGCCTCGATCTCCCAAGTCTCCAGCATCGGGGACCAGAAGTTTGAGGTTATCACCCACAACCGGACGTTCGCCTTCCGGGCAGAGAGCGATGGTAAATATGCAGGTTTGCCGGCTGTGGGAGGACCAGAAAAGGTGCGTTGATGTTCTCCTGGCGGCTCTGGCATTGGGTGGAATAAATGCTCAAATGCAGGCGCTCCCTTCCAAGCACCACAGAGCAGTGAGGGCCAAACTCTTTGGCCCAAATCGGAATGCCCGTGTGCGCGCCTGCAGGAAACCTGAAGAGCAGCTGGCAGTTGTGCATGCATGCGCCGAAATTCAGAAGAGCAGCTGGCAACCGTGCAGGTGCCCACAGAGAGGGCTCGGCATGCCACCTCCGGCACGCGGCCCATAGGTTCGCCGTCACAGTAAATGAGCATAGAATCTTAGAGCTGGGAGGGACTTTGGAGGTCTTCTAGTCCAACCCCTTGTCCAAGCAGGAGTTCTGACACCTGACACAAATGTCCATGGAGATTCTCAGTCATCCAGGTTCTCCCAAAGGTGCTTTTCCAGGGAACAACTGGATTTTCCTTGTTTTTCCTTTGAAGTCGTTTCTTTTCTCATCTTGTCAGAGCAGAAGAAGCTTTTTGGATGAGAAGGGAAACCTCTTCAAACAAGAAGCAAGGAGATGTTAATTCATTTAGCAGAATTTTTTATGTGGAGAATATATGTGAGGTGTAGGTTATTTGTTATTTTATATGCTAATTAAATTGAACTGTTGTACATTTTGAATAGTAAGGATTCAATTGAAAGATAATGAAATGTAAACTACGAGGATACTATTTGATATGTATTAACAGATGAAGGAGAAATGATTACCTGGTCATAGTTAAGAATAAGTGTATCATGAGAAAATGGATCGGAAAATGTACAAATGGAACTTGAAAATACTTTT